CGTACTGCGAACTATAACTGTATCGAGGTTTAATTATGTGTAATTCGACGCTTAACGAAATCTCTGCAGATGTTTTCCAAGAAATTTTGTAATCATACAATTAGCTGTTAACAGTAGTCGGTTAGCTGAACGATTACGGGTAAAAACGAGAGCGATGCTCAAAATTGAATATGACCATAAATTCACAAGTAGCCGTAAAACTTCCGGCTCAAACTGAGCAGCGCTAACAAAGTTGCTTTGTTTCTCCAGGTTTCTAAAGGAACATCGCTATGGTGTTTCCCTTGTCTTAGTTCTAGACAGTTTTTAACAAGTGTAAAGTTGAGTGGTATATTTGGTAGAAAGAAAAAAAAAAAGCATCAACTTATAGCACCGAAATAGAAAAGAAAAAAAAAAGGATGTTCTTTTTTTTTGGTTTACTGCCGACACAATTTGTATTTCCTGGTACTCTTCGAAATGTTGCCGTCTTAAGTGTGCGTTCAACAAATCTGTACTACAAAACTGACAGTGCTTAATGTTAAGAAAAAAGAAGAAATAACAGTTGTAATCTTGATGCCAGCCCAACAAATTTATTCAGTAGTTGATGCGTATTACCTTCAATCGTAACCGATTGCTGATAGACATATAATCGTTGACTACATTTTTTTCTGTACAGACAATACAAGAAGACAGTCGTTTTTTTTTTTACGCTATTAATTTCATCTTTTTTTATTCTTCCAAAAAAATGACTGTCCTGTTATGTTCCTAAAAAACAACCAAATAAAAAAACCCTATTTTTTAAAACACAACAAAAAATAAAAAAAAACAATTTATTAATTATCAATAAATTAGAAAATACTGACAAAAAGGTTTTTTTTGAGCAAAAAAACTAAAAAATTATTTTTTATTAATTTTAAAAAATTATTTCCGCTAATTTAAGACTAAAAAAAGATTTGTTGAAAAAATTTGTTGAAGCACTGAATACTAACTAGAAAAATTTGTTGTTTCTCCGTTTGAAACGACGTTTTGACACTCTGATATCAACTGAGTAACAAAAATATGAATAAAACTGGTTCAGAATGTTTTTTTTTTGAAAAATAACACCGACAGTTATAGGAAGAGAACAAGCTAAAGAAAAAATAAATCTGGAAAACAGTGGCACATTTAAGAGGTAAACTGTGAATTGGTACAATAGGTTAAAAACCAAAGATTTTACCATGATAGAGGTCGACAACGATTGTTGTTTACATTTGCCGAAAATCTTTGTACCACTCATAAATTACGATTAGCTTAAAGTTTGAATATTTAATGTTGTTGAGAGAAAAAAATTGTTATACTTAGACATTATTTTTTTTAATGAAGTTAATCGTATTTTTTTCAGCTGGTACGAAAGTTCTTTGAAAACACTAAAACAACAATAACTGAAAAAGAAAAAAGAAAGAAAAAGACAATTTAGTTTTGAAATTAAAATTAAAACTTTAAAAACAGCTGAAGGTTCATAATAATTTAACCAATATTATTGTAACATCCAATTTTTTTTTAATAACAACAAAAAATTATTTTTCCTTTTCTTTTTTTAAATTTATTTTTTCAAACCGCTATTTCGATGTCTACTTTCTTAATCCCTAATTCTCACTTTCGAACTCCTTTTTAAAGACCGGTTAAAATCCTCATCCGCTGTACAAAAACTACAAAACTGCACATAATACGGAAGAGGAATTTTTTTTCCTTGTAATGATGACCACTGAATTGTTTGAACATTGATTTTACAACTGTTCAAACAAGTACAATGTTGGCAAAAATACTGCGACGACACTCAATTTCACCGCAACACCCTAAAAATAACTCAAGGAAAACTTTTCCGTCTTTACAATATCAATTAAGGTAAAAACAAAAAGCTTTTATTAATACAGATCATCATCATAACGAAGTATATAAAAGCCGAACAGACCTCAGCCAATGTGCATTTCTCTTTAGTTGCGCTTAAAACTCATGGCTTCCCGAACATTGAACTTCTACTGTCTCACCCTTTTAACTATCTCTGTTTCTGCCAAGTATTTCAGCAACGACTTTCTTAATAATCAGGTTATTTTATGGTCTTTCCCTAGTTTTACTCTCTTTTGCTAATACCCTTTCAAAAAAAAATTAAAGACATTTTTTATTTTCGTATTAAAAGAACTCATTTTAACTCTTCCGCACTACAAAGAGGTCAATTACTTCAAGTTACAGGGACTGACAAAAGACAATGAGAATCAACCAAAAGTAGGTTTGCGAAGCTACGATACTCCATTTTTTATGCCAGGAGGTACAGGGCAGAACCCTATGCTACTTAATATTATTGGCCAACAAGGCTTCCCAGGCCTTCCCCAACACGGTTTTCCAATTATCATAGAGCAAGGAAATATGCCAATGGGCGCTCAAAAAGGCTTTCGGATGGGCGGACAGATGCCGATGAATAATCCTGGACCAATTCAGTTTCTGGTACCCATAAATGGATTTGGTGGCATGG